CCCAATTTATAATGTAAGCAAAGATTAGTCAGAACCCTAACCCTTGCTTTTCGAGACAATTCTGTGAGGCTGCCTGACGCCTGCCATGAAGGATACAAACTTTGAATATAACTAGCTGAAGCCATCGTGTCTTCGGCTTGCAGTTGTGTGACCCAAGGATATCAAGTTCTGGTCGACGATATGCTCATACCCCAAAAAAGTCAAAGCAACAATCGTTGTCAAAATTTACCTTTCCAGCCCCGTATGCCCAGCAACCCCTGGATTTCCCTGAAAAGAAACTGTCTCACGCTTCAGAAAATTTGCTTCGTAAATGGGTAGACAAGGTGTTCATCTTGACGAATATTATGCAAAGTATTTACACTGTTGAACGTCGTAAATTCAATGTAAATTCAATTACGTATTCCTTAAATTTAAACATTTGTGATATGAATATGAATATGCGCTAGAGTACGCAATTTTGTTAAATTGTTCTCAGGACATGAGGCAAAACAGTGTGCTTTAGAGCTTGATGGCACAAAATAGTCTGCACGTTGTGTCGGAAATTTATTCAGTCCGATACATTGCAAAATGAGAGCATAGATATTACATACTACACACACTGAGACAAAAATGAATGCGCTGGCGGTAGCACACCGAGGTGGGGAATTGTACCACACAACTGATTTTTCCGTTCAAGAGTGTGCTTTCTTCAAACATCTAAGTAAACGCTCAGCTCTTCCTTAGATATACACAAGAAAATGGAGAAATTATATATCGTTGATTATATGTGCTACCTGCAAACTAAATTCCTCCGCTGTGGTATCTGAAAAGCTCAGGTGAAAAAGGCAGAATCCGGACATCCTGTTGCTAATGCATAATACATACACTATGCACTATGAACAATCTGGAACGGGTTGGGTTATGCCCACTCAATCTTCGTCCGGTATTGGATCGGCGATGGCACTACTTTTTACGAGACTAGCGAGCTTGTGTGAAGGGACTTCAGCACCTCGAATGGCAACAGCGTAGCAAGCTGTGGGATGAGTGGGAAATTCGAAGGGAATCATAAATCCTATATTAAAGCGCGCCGGGATTCAAATACAGCTACACATGTACTCTTTACGACTGCAGAGTTTTCCAACAAAGAAGTTTCAATACAGCATCACAATATATAGTTCCAAAATTGATTTGTGTTCATATTAGGATACAATGATTTATGGATATTGGGGAGAATTGGACCGCATCAATCCACAAATTATTAAGTATAAAAATTCATCTCCTAACCCAGATGCAAAGGCGGCTAGACCTTCCAGAATAGCGCATCTATTTTGCTTGGGATACGGGTGAAGGCAGAACCAGTACGGACATATATGCAAAGTCAACTATCAGTGTGCAGAAAGACTGTAAACCATAATTGGGGGAGTGATATGTTAAAGCTTATTATCTGACTATTGCAGTGTAGTAACGTTCAAGCAACCTTCAACAGGGCGAAAGTGCACAGCAATGGAGTATAGGAACACAGACGCTAAATTCAGAATTTCTACTCATAGAATCAGAAAACGCAACACTCTTGACTATGGAATCCAGAGATTCCATCTCATTCAGGATCTTAATTTATATATCGAATGGAGAGACAAGAGTCTATATCGGTCATCAAAAACCAAATACTCTACTCTTGAATTTAACGGCCACTTATATCACCAAGTATAAGTTGTAATTGTCAGGGCTGCATATTGCACGACAAGATATCCAGAAAAATAGTCTGTATTGCACATACCGTTTTCAACTTTGGTCAGACTCTGTTTCATGACATTGATTTTTCTGTTCAGTTCTTTGATCTCGCCATATGGAAGGGCCTCAAAACCTGGAATATAAAGCGAAGCAGTATCCAGCATAAATCAATGCTCAAAATACAATTAATCCTTCATTTGTTGAGAGCTAAGAAAAAGGGGAATGCAAGGAGAAAGGAAATGTAATTTCATATCATCTGTCCTGTGAGCGAATCAATATTCTTCACAAGTAGCCAAGACATGTTGGAGCCACGCTACAACGAAGCGAAGTCAAAATACTATAATTGGCAAGTTGTGAGACATATGATAGCTTCATTCGTGCGCACGTGACACGTGTTCAGACCCTGCTTGGACTCAGCCATTCTTTCATCACTATGATGGTGTCAGCGAGTATAAAATACGAAAAGCTTGATTTTCAGAAAACTTACTGCTTAGCATTGACCTTAGAAAGTCATGGATGATGAAACACTGCTCGCGATTGCCGCCTCCCAAGTAGTTTATGCACAAACGCATGAGTTCTCCCGACAAATCCGCCACCCCCAGTAGGTAATCGGCCGCACTCTACAAATGGATCCATGAAAATAGGCCAAGAAATCAGTACAACAGTCACGACGGAAATGTCCAGAATGATACAGTAGCTGATGATGAGGTACAGAAGGCGCCACCATTTTCAATGAAGTAGCGAGATGAAGAGTATGAATCTGAAGCAATGAGAGGACTACCAATCAAGACGGAAGACCCAGCAATATGTATATATATATATATAAATATATA